ATCCCTAACGTTCTGTGATTCTGTGATCCTCAGCTGTACAATCTGTTTGGCTGGCTGCTGCTCCCCCAGCCCCCACCCTGCTGCTATGGCATCTTCTTCCCCCTCTTCCTATTTCCCAGTGAAAGAAACATGGCTTAGTTCTCCATCTGAAACCAAATACAACTTGAACCAACACAACTTAACAATATTAGCAACTGATGATTAGTGTCAGAGATGCTGGATCTGGTTTCTGTTTTGGAACTGTACATTCATAGAAAGCTAATAAGTTAATTGGTTAATCCTAAAACACATAATACCCTTACAGTGGTATGCTTCCAGGGTTATAGTGTGGCCATGTGGAAAAGAGGCTGAGTCAGGTCACTGGGGAAAAGGCAAGTTCATTTTCTTTCTCCCAGCCAGGAGCAGTTCTTCTTCCCAGTTCTGAATTTTTGCTGTGACCTACTTCCCTTGCTCTTTATGCTCTTAACCATTCCCTCAAACAACAGCAGAGGGAAGCAGATAGCAGCAGCAGCCTGTGTGCAAGGCAGCCACATCAGCTGGGGGTGGGGAAAGCAACACAGAAGTGAGTGAAGCTTTCACCTCTTCCCTTACCAAAGCGCCCAGGCAGGGGCAGAAAGCACATGGCTGCAGCCCAAAAACTGGCTTAGTGTTTCTGTTTCTCCTGAAGGTGTTGTTATTAATATTTCTTTGACATTTATTTATTTATTTATAATACAGGATTTCAGAGTTGATTCAAAAATTTCTGTGAAAGCTGGGGGTGGGGAAGGGAAGTGAGAACATCCATGGCATTTTCTCTCCTAGCATTCTGGTCTGCTCTTACATTTTTCAGAAAGGAACTAAGGAAAAGCCCCACTGAGACCATAACAAAAGCTCTGTTGTGTTGGAGGAAATGAGGGCCTATAACTTGGATGAAATGCGTTCAGGGAGATGCGGCATGCTGAAAAATCCAGTGACAGCTGAGTGACAGAACACCCTGGTGCCTCAAAAGCTCAGTCTTTAGCAGTTGGTTAGGAATGCATATCCAGCTACAGTACTGGTCACACCGTGCCTCACTATCCCCATCACCAGGCACACACAACAAGCAGACTAACAATTCTGAACCCTTTTACCATGAAAACACTGCTGTGTGAGTTTGTTTCTAGATGGGGATTAAAACTTGCTTCTGTTTTCTTTTTTTCCTGCACTGCTTTCTAAGGCAGGAGTTTACACAGTAAGGGGAAGCCAGACACAGGTTTGTTTACCATAAAACCAGAGTTGTAACATGATTTAGCAACAGTCATTTATTAGAGATACCGGTTCCTATATACAGCAAAGCTTCTTCTGTTATCCTGTCTCCTAGGCAGAAATAACAGTCCATTGCATCTGTCAGTACAGGCCTTGGAGACACAGTAAAAACCTATCTAGTGGACAAAATTCTAGACCCTTCATTGCAAGTTTCTATTACACTTCACCAACCAGCTGAGAAACAGAATATGCAAGACCACAGTACCTGTATTTGTGTTTTCTTGGGCTTCTTCTTCTGTCTTTGCTATTGTGGTAGTATGGACAGGCATAACCTTGGCGACAGAGACGAGGTGGTTTCTTACATTGCTCTGTCTTGTAATTTCCCAACACATACGTCGTATCTGCAAAAGAAGCAGCCAGTTCATGAGAGACGACCATAATCTGCATTTACTATACAGAAGTTTTGGACAGGAGCGTGTACTTCACAAACACCAGACTTTTCCAGCCCCCACAGACCCTAAGTGACGCTCACCTTGCCACCTTGGCTCCTCACTGAGTATTTTCTCTATCATAGCATGGCTAGCAGCGACTGCAGACTGACCCTCTATGCCACCTTCTGCTGTTGTCTGACCATTCTGCAAAGCCTCCATCGCCTGAAGCTCCCTTTAGTGAACAGAGTTAAATGAACACACAGACTGAGCAGATGAAGAGACAGGCAAGTGTGTATAGAACTGACATACTGTAGCATGGTAATAATTCCTAAGTGGGTGCATTTCATGCATTTTTTGGTCAGATCATCTTCAGTTCAACAGGAACTGCAATTCATGTTCTTCATTCCCTAGGAATCCCAGATGCATTATTTGGACCCCACCATCAGACTCAAAACCACCACAAAAGTAGTTTAAAATGTGCTCCCTTTCCCCATTTTGAGTATCCTCCCTGGAGATGATGATGATATATCCCTCCCTAATAAAACAAACCTACATCACTCCAGCACTAAGCATTTCACATTGAAGAAGTACTGACCTTCAATCATCTGACTTTGCATTTGGGTACAGAAATTACCCTTTTCATACAGAGCTCGAATCTCCACCAACCTGATGTCATACACTGGAGAGCGCAGGTCATGGGGCCCATGAGCAAATGCGCAGTGGACTCCATTCTTTGTGCAGTTTCCCTTGGAGTCTGTCTCATGAATGCAGATTCCAGTTTTGTAGTAGCGCAAGTGATACCTCCTCTCTGTGTCTCCAGTAGTTCTGTGCAAGAAGGGACACCTGAAGTACAGGAGGGGAAGAACACACACAGTGTAGTCACACAGGTGATGGACTCAACACTAGCAGAAGACATATTGCCAATACAGGATGCTGCAGTGGACAACACCTCTGCTAACTCTGCCCCTTCTCTTACGCTGTGCCTCCAAAGCTACACAGAAACCATAAGTCTGTCATGACACAGTATGAAACGGTTTCCCTCCCAAAAAGCCAACTGGATTATTAAAGCACCAGCAGCTTATTATTCTAGTCTAGTGACTGCCAGGGATCTGGAAAAGAGCAAGGACACTGTCAAGGTGTTCCGATATATTAGCCATGATTGAAGGGACATCACATGGCACATACCATTTCCTCAGCAGCCCATCTAGACTTTGTGCTGTTACTGTTTCGTGCTGAGGTACTCCTACAGGGCTGCAACAGTCTACCTGCAGCCAGACGAACCCCTTATGCAGAGCACAGGACAAGAAGGAAAATTACAAGACTACCATTTTAACTTATGTTTTGTTTCCCCTCTTAGGCAGAAAATGAACAAACTACTCTGCGAAATACACAAATCAGGAAAGAGTTCTGAGATGGCAACAGTTTTCATTCACTGAGTTTGAGCCAAATATGAACCAGTGATCTAGAAGCCAAAGCCCCCAAAATATCCTTTTTCCAGTCCCGTCCAGTTCTCTTCTAACAAGGAAGAACGTATTAAAGCTGAAGCTTCAGGCCGGGAGATTATTCCATTCTACTGTAGTCACAAATTCTTTACTTAATTGTGCAAAAACAACAACAAAAAGGTTTTCCTGATAAATAGCATTTTTCTGTGTGTTTATACTGGCACAATGAAAGGGAACTGAAATTCCATCTTTCTATAGCATCTCTATATAAAATACTCCCTATATTTGACCAGTTTGGCTACACTATTTATTCTACCATATCTGTCACGTGGCTACAGTTACATTACAGGGTTAACCCTTTGATTGTGTGAGTCTGCCACAGTAGAAACAGATAAACTCTCTGCTCCAGTTAAACTTGCGACAGTCACTGGGAGAGAAGACCAAATAAAACAAACTTGTCCTCTTGTTGCCTTATTTTGGGTACCTGTCATTTCTCTACTGGCTTCTTAAAAGTTCAGGAAGACAAAATAAACTGGCAAGTAACTGATACGATTTAAAAAGCTGGGGATAGATAATTCAGGGGGCAAACTAGAAGAAAAAGCTCCTCCTCGTTCAGCAAGCTGTTAAAAACTAATACAACCTGCTAGTAAGCAAGAGCTATTATTTAACAGTCTGGGACTTATGGGAACAGTCTTTCTAAGCCCAATTGTCAGCGAGCTGTTTTTCTCACCCCAGCTATGCCAAGGCTCATGAGGACAGTGAACAGTGCAAGAGCTGAATTCCCATCTGAGTTATAACCTTCGTATCATCTCTGCAGCAGGGCTAGAGCACATGGGTTGCTATTACAGTTCTTACATCTGTTCTCATGTTACGTGTGTTACAAAGCTGCTTTACTGCTGACTTGCCTCATCTCTACAAGAACTGGCTGGAATCATCACCTGGACTGATCCCAAAAGCCTAATGCCTGAAAAGCTGGGTGCAGTCTTTACTTACTCATCTCCTTCTGGGCAGATTCCTGTGGTCTCGTCATACTTGGTACAATAAATGTCAGGGCTGTAGTTAAATGTACCATCCCGGCGGCGGATAGATCGGCGGCGACGCTGGTTGACAAAGTGCCAGTGGAAGCAAGTGTAGGGCCGGTGCTGAGTGCACTTGTGCTGCACGAAAAGAGGGCACTGCTCTGTGCGGAACTCCTTCAGGTAACTGCAGGCAGAAACCCAACAGGAGGAGGTTAGGACCAACACTCCATCGCCCTGCAGAGTCCAGGCCAAGCTGGCCACATCCATCACAGGGTTGCCTGCTGTCCTTCCCTCACCCTCCCCTGCTTTTGCTCTCAATAATGGAGGCTGGAAGTCGCTGGTTGTCTGTAATAGGAAGATATCAGTTACCAGGCCAGTTAACACAAACATGAAGGTTAATGATAGCTAAAATCACTTTCTGTTGTGCCTTAGCTATCATTTTGAAGAGGCTTTTTGTAAGTTTAGAAAATAGTCTGTGAGAAAACAGAACTCTTAAGTTCCTTTCTATCCATTTCTGTCTCTAAATCTGAGACCTATCTCGGCAAAAAGGGGTTTCCTTCCTAAAAGATTTACGTTCAGTTTCAAAAACAAACAAACAAACAAAATACACTTTCTTGTAGCCATGTTTAAAGGTTCAAGTTACTGAGAGAGACTTAAGACTTTCTTTCATGTCTTGTCCTCCTTGTTTAACTCAGCTTTTTCTTCAGTACACGGTCAACTACGAAATTAATCAATTTCTTGCTTGCAATCTTGTGAATTCAGGACTCAGTCTTGAAAAGTGGGATAACTATCCTCAAACTCCTGTATGTTTATGTGCTTCATTTTTAATATGTAATTCTCTGAAAGTACATGCCTTCTTTTATCCTGAGAACTACAGAAGTCACAAGCTTTTATTTGTGACACTAATAACAGTCTCTAAACCCAGATTGTAGAGGATTACAAAATGGTTTAGATCAACATAATGATCTGCCTGTGATCTGTGTGTAGGTGCTTACAAAATCCACACTGCCTGAAACCCAGTGGCTGCCCTGTATTTATCGGAAAGATACAAACTGTTCAAGAAGCTCAGACCCGAGCCCCGCCAGGTTTGGTCTCAGAGACAACCTCCAAGAACGGCACAGAAGGCCCAGAACAAGCAGACGTGGGCTAATTGCCTCCCACAAGAAGTCACATTCTGGTCTCTTACATTTAGAGCTCAGTTTAAACAGCAAGTAACAAAATTTGTTGGTCAAAGTTCTGCTATTCTGCTGGAAGCAACAGGATGATATAACAGCAGATACGACTCATTTTGAGCTGTATATGTACTCCAAAATAAAACAGAGTATAGGAATTTGTCAAGTACTAATTCCCATATCAGACAATGTTTCTATTGTGTTTCTAAATAAATGGAAAGATGTCTGATGCCCAAAGACGTATTTACAGACATCATCATCATCATCCTAGATTCATTCTGAAAGCAACATCTGTAAATAAAGCTTCCTTTCCTCTTTACACCTGGCTAAAGAAAAAGCCTCAGGAAAATACACAAATTCAACCCAAGTGGTTTTATTTGCTCGCTATGAAGAAAGAATATCACTGGCAAGAGATTTCCTACACTGAATTTTGCAAGCATGAAAGGATAAAAGCTCTTTCTTCTCTTCAACCTCCAAACACGTGGGAGACTTGCAGGTTCCACTGTTTCGGATCTGCAGATGCTCAGGGCTGCAGCTGTCTGCGAGCCCTTTTCAACCCAAGCCCTTCTGTCCCCAGCAACAGCATGCCTGGAACAGTCTCCACACTGGGGCCCAAGGCTTCACATCAGAGAAATGGAGCCAGCGTGCAGTACCAGGTCTGTTTGGAGTAGGTGAAGGCTAACAACATCACTTCGTTCCTTTTCACTTCCAAAAAGCCGGCTTCATTCAAATGGAGATCCCTACTCCAACCACAGCAGCAATTCATCTGAAAATTGAACGCCACAATAAAGTTAAGCCGCTCTCGAAAAGCTTTCTAAGCTGTTGGACCAAGTATAGTTGTAAAAAGTGGAATTCCACAGATTATTTATCTTATCAGATAAAATAAGACTTGCTAATAAGACTTAGAACATAAGTGACCTTAACAACATTTAGGTTAGAAAGTGAATTAAGCAAACTTAAGCAGCACGATACTTAGTCTGCTGTCCAGAGATACAACGCAGTCACCAACCAGTCCCTTCCACCCATACATCCCCATGTACACCTCAGAGACATGAGGTTTATGTTACTCCCGTTTTACATATGAGGAAACTGCAAAACAGCTGGCTACATGTCCTGGCCAGTATCATACAGCAACTGGAGTCAGCAACAAAACCCAGGAGCATTTAAATTCCTCCATCTGCACTGAAGTGAGTCCCGAGCTTAATTTGAAGAACAGCATTCGGAGTCTCTTCAGGGCTCTGGAAACTAAGGGGAAATATCAAGCCTAAACAACCTGAGTATAAACCCAGCACTCCAGACTTGTAGCGATAGGCATGTATGAAACAGTTTTAAAAACCCTAAAATTTAACAACAGCATCGTCAACCGAGCTGAAACAGCTTCCCTTTAGCAGGAGAGTTTAAAAATGTACACACTGACTAGGGAGTTCAGTCTCTGGAGTGTCAATTGTTGAAGAGGATTTGAAAATTAATTGCATTTCATGATTGGCTAAACTCCCCGGAGAAACATTTATTATAATGTAAATGAGAGATAATTACATAAGTAAATGGTTCACCTGAAAAGTATTTAACACCTAACTCGCTTCATCAGGAACTCATTCTTTAATGCTGTCTATTAAATAAATGATCTCTCACTCTTAATTTCAAACAAGTCCTGCAAACAGGTACCATTGAGCTCCACGCAACACATTAACTGTGCACGATCACCCCTGCAACAGAACCAACAGAGCAAAAGGAGAGTTGTCACATTAACTCAGTCATTTCAAGCCTTTCAATCACTGCTTTGGGTTTTTAATTTTTTTCAAGCCACTACAACACTTTAAATCACCCTCCTCCACAATAGCCTGAATGGTAAATTGCGTTATAGCCCTTTATTTTCTCGATCCTTGAAGCGAGTTTTGGCCCTCTGGGAGAACATGGACCACTCAACCAGCCACTTTGTATTAAAATATATGAAAGGCATCTAAACCACATGTGTTTTGAGAACACAGAAAGGATACACAGAGTGCACTACCGCAATGTGATGGCTCACAAAGCAGAATGCTGTTAATATTTCAGTAGCCTCTTTGCAAAGGCTCTAAACAGAAACGCAGAAAACATTGTCACAACAGATCCTTCTGGTGTCAATGGTCTTTATAAATTTGTTTCCCAAAACAGCTGAGAAAAGGAATTTTTGAATGACCTCTGAAACTGAAAACACGATAACTGGTACACATTTCACAGCATGGCAGCCAAACACTCTGTCTGTACAGGAAGAGGAAATCCAGCAATGATAACTCACATTTCTCAGCTACGCTCCAAAGATCTCAGGAAATTCTACAGGCCCCACATGAGGGGTAGAAGAATTATTACCCTTGATTTAGATAGAAGTTACTTCTGTTTTGTTTGGGTTTTTTTAAAGAAAAATGTGAAACTTATCAGTTCTGTGTTGGTCTACTTTTCATGCACTTTCTTTTGTATGTGTGTATGTGTCATATTTTCAAACCTATACAACTTTTTAAAAAGTGGAAAGCACTTAGCATAGTCATCATCGTCTGATACTACATTTACATCAACAGCAAGACTTGAATTCCTGGAGGAAATGTTATTTACGAGTCCTACTAAACAAAGACAAATGCAAGTCTAAACAAAAAGGACAAGGCCAGTCAGAACTATGTAGATAGAAGTCCCCAGGCTGAAATGAACCTGCTGCTGAACAGGAGGGACGCTACTGGAAATAAAAGCTTATTTCACTAGGAAGACAAGAGGAGAGGTTCTTACACTGGCTGTGGGAACTCCCAGAGACTGACAGGAGCTGCAAAGGATAAGAAAAACCCAATGCTACTTCACTGAAATTCCACTTCCTCTAGGGTGAGATGTGGGCAAGGCCTGTAATTACTCTCCACAAGAATTACACTAGCAGGGGAACGAACTGTCTTTAATTGCTGCTGGCAGCTGGACTCTCCAGGGCAGGGCAGCAAGTGTTTACATCTGCAGGTTGTAATTGCAGCTAGTTCCCCTCTGCCCTCGAGGAAGCGAGCAGCAACCTGCGTTGGGAGCTGCAGGAAAAAAAGATGAGCAGAAAAAAATTAAAAAATGGTACTTCCAAACACCACCACCGAAAGAAATCAAACCTAGAAAGAAGGAGGAAAAGAAAAAAAACCCGCACTAAAACAAAAACCACAAAACAAGAAGAAACTCTAACCTACAAGTTAAGTTTTTACACTCAACAGTTGCAGCCTTGTCCTGGTCACATTCACTGCTCGCTGCTGCAGCGATCCCTTGCTTTGCTGCAGCTTCACTGGTTTGGCTGTCAGCAGCTCGGTGCAGGGGGATACCTGCATCCCAACCACACTCCAGGGCTGCAAACCTCCTGCCAAACTTGACATAAGTCACACATGCAGTGGCGTGAGCACAATTCAGGAAAATGTGCTGGTGATGCATGAAGACAACTGAGCTCTGAATTCCTCAATAAAAGCCTTACCCAAAGCTCCCTGAAATCACAGGAAGATGCACACTGACGCCACCAGAGAAGTCACTGTTCTGCAACAGAGGGATCAGGAAGACTGGGGAGAGAAACAATACTGAGGAGCATGGAAACAAAAGGATTAAAACCAATTCTTCCAAACCCTTGTTGGTTCCATAATGCAAAGCTGGGCCCTCCTTTGCTTCTGACACCCCATGCACTATTTGAAATCTTCACGTAGGCCCCATGATGAGCTCCTCTCCTTCGCAGCCCTCCCAGCTCCTCCCAGTCAATCCCCTTTCTGCCAAAATTCCTTTTTGGGCCCAAAGAGAGCACAGAGGCTCATAAACAGGATCTGAATCTTCTGCAGCAGCACAAAACCAGAGAGAAAACCATTAGATAATTGTTTGGCTAATCCAGACTAAGGCACTGTCTGTAAATGTAGGACAATCATGAGATCTAACACCAGTGCTATCTAGATTTCACATTCACGTGTACGTGGGTGTGTCTTTACACCCATGAAACTATGCTACAGCCTGAGCAGAGGCCTGTGTTAAGCGGTACCACTGGTACCAGTGCTGTCTGCATGATGTTAGACCACTGTAAACCACAGATATCTTTTACATTTGCAGGCACATCCACGCTCAAAGCGCTGGCTGCTGTCAGAGGGGCTTCATCCCTGCAGCTGCTCCTTGGCCACAAGACACAAACACAGAGAAGGTAGCCCAGGGCACATGCAGACAGTGCAGGCTCTGGTCGTTTCTGTAAAGTTCAGCCTCGTGTGGACACTTCACTTTACTATTAACGTAGTATTAGAAATTGCTAGTTCAGGGCTGTATAAAGATTCCCAAGCCACTGTCCAAAAGAGCGCACACAGAGGCAAATCTAACCAACAAATCTACAAATAAAGTGTTTGGTTGTGTGTTTTCTGGTCTGTTTGGGTTTGGTTGTGGGTTTTTTGTTTGTTTTTTTGTTGTGTTTTTTTTTAAATCAAGGCTTAAGTTCCTGATAAAATTTCAGATATCAGGAAAAAATGCTGTTCTGCCATTACCATTTATTTTAGTCCTATCTGCCTTCTCTCAGCAGAGGATCACACTGGCAAAGACACAATTTCATCAGCACAAAAGCCCACGGGAATGCTGGGGACTGGCACTTTTCTATCAGTCATGTCCTGCTGCTTCAGACAGGACCGCATGAGGCCATAGAACTCTTTGCACAGTTGCAGGTGGTCCCAGTTCACCTCATTTGTAGAAGGACATCCTTCCCAAATACTGCAGTCTGAATGACAGAAGTCCCTGCTCTCAGCTGCTCATCAGCTTTCCTTTGCTGGAAGCTCATATTGGCACCACTCTGTCCAGACAGCAGGATGGAGGAAGTCTTCCTAATTCAGTTTAGGAAGAAAAAAAATACCAACACATAATAATAATAATTAAAAAAAATCACTAGCTTAGCTCAAACTACTAATTTAAACTTTAGAGCTAACACAGATAAAATTATCTGAAGTAAACCAGTGTGTGCTTACTCAACAGTCTGCCTGCAAAGCACGCAGCACTGCAAAACTCAGGAGAAAATATCTAGCCGTAGATATAGATGTTTCTAATTCAATAATGCTTATCTGTTGAAAATATTTTCAAAACTGCTATTTTCTTCTGAAGCTCAAAGAGTCACTCCAACACAAGAGGAAAAGAGACGTCCATATTTAATCAGCGCTCTAAATTCATTTCACCCTCATAAAATTTTATTGCAAAAGATGATATCAGACACACTTTAAGTAAGAAACCCATGACTCAATTATTTTCTTTTACTGAACTGTGGTATTCCAATTGAAATGAGTCAGTGGTGCATGACAGAATCTACTTATTCAACAGGATACTCAATAAAAATCCTACTAATGCATCTTTCATTTAACATATCATTACTGGTAGAGAAAACGCATGATATGCAGCTCTGACATTGCTCAGGAGTCTTTACTCTTAGGTCAAAGAAGATGTTACAGAGTAAAAGGAAACAAATGGGGATTTAAAGACTAAGTGTCGTTCCAGAATAATTAGTCCAATAATTATAATCACTATATTCTAGAACTGCTATTCAAGTTCTCCACATTGGTAATTCCCTGTAACACCCTTACACACCTCCTGGCAAATCAACAGGGCTACCAAAAGGCTTGGCTTTTGAAGGAATCCCCCGGTGTAGCAAGGAGTTC